TTTATTCGAATATATATTTTTTAATAACCTCGAATACTTCTTTGCAACTTTTTACTTGAAAACCAGAAAACGCCAAAAAAACGGGTGTTTTTTAGCATACTAAATCCCGATTCAATACACAATAATGAAAAATTCCCACTATCGACTTTTGAAAATTAGTTTATATTAAAATAATTTGATTGTATAAACGTTTAGTTTTGAAACTATTAACAACTCGTTAATAATCATAGTTATACATCATATAATCAATTATACAATTTTATTATAACAATATAATAAAATTAACAATATCTTAACTAATATTAAAACTAACTTATGTTTATTTACAATTATATATTTATGTATTAAATTATGTAATAAATTATAAATCATAAAATAATACATTTTATAAAACATATATTTAATTACATCAAAACTATATTAAAAATTAATAACAACTACACATTAATGATAAAATGAAGTCACATATAACCCCCCATAAACAATTTAATTTATAATGAATTAATATTAATCTATAAATTATAAATTATAATTATTTTATAGACATATTTTTTGAAATAAAATTAACAAAAAAATTAAAAGTATAATAAATTGAATCATTATGATATAATAAAATACTATAAAAAATAAAATAGAACAACGTTAAATAAATTGGAAATAGTATAATAAAATAGTAATTTTAACTAATGATTTAATTATTTAAGAAATTATTATTACAATTATGTTTTTTTTTAATTTTTTAATAGCAGTTTGCCATAATTTCACAAATCTTAATGTTAGGCGAATTATGAGAAAAGTAAAAGTTTTTCCCACTCTTTACATCAATTTCCACAAAAATAATAAACAATAAAAAATAATTTTTAAAAAAAATGAAAAGCACTAATGGTCTAAGTGTAGAATTTCATTTTTACAAGGTGGAAATTTAGGTTCAAAACCGGTTGGTGTATTTTAGTTTAAATTTTGTTATCATCTATTCAAATTGATTTAATAATTTGATAATTTGAACATAAAAAGTGTTGCAATTCACAATTATTAACCTTACGATTTTTTTTATTTTATAAAACATTTTTTGGAAAAAAAATGTTTTATTGATGAAAACGCCATTACCATTCGTGTTTTGTTTAAAACAATTTTAAAAATCGAAGAAAAAAGAAAAACCTATAAATTATTGTTTGCGCGATTGGTTTGTATCAGGGTCTATCACGGAACAGGGAAAAATTTGGAACTTGTCCCAAAAATGCATTTTAAAATAAATAGGGGTATATTTTCTTTGTTTTTATGCCAAAAATAAAGTAGTTTTAGTAAAATTCATAGTATTGTTTGTTTTTAAGATCTCCAAAACCTTTTCTTTACAGATGGAAACTTTTTGCCGCGGTCATTTTTCTACTTAAAACGACAGTTAACAATTAAACTATAAAATATTAAAATGTATAGTATACAAATAAATGGTTTATTAATATAATATTTATACTATATAAAATAAAACTATTAAATATAATTGATAATATTATAAAATATTAAAAATTGTTTAATAAAGATGAAATAATAATTTAATTTATTAAGATAAAATTTGTTATTAACTATACTTTTTTTTAAAATATAGTATAATGAAATCACTCAAAAATATATGCTTTTTGGAATTAATTTTTCAAACATCGAACAGTTGTTTATATTATTTTGTTGATAATCAAGAGTTATACATACCGTGGACTAACCAAAAGATATATAACACAATTTAAAGTTGTTTAATTCATTCTTTTGTTTTAAAGAAAACAATTCGACAAACAGAATCGTAACTTGCATAATTTGATAAATGTAACGAGTCCATTTATCCATAACACATAACAAAAAAAAGCCTTGGTTAGTCAATGATTGAATTTTTATTACATCTTAAAGTTATTATATATTTTACTATGTTTCATAATTTTTTATTAAAAACAGTTTGTCTGTACTCTTTTTATTTATAAGTATAGAATGATATATAATAGTATAATTAATTAACTATTATTACTTACCAAAAAATTAAATTTACTTAAATTATTTAAAATATTAATTTAAATAATTAAAATTATATATATAGTTTTATTATAATAAAACAATAAAATATTAATAAAAAAATAATATTATATTAATAATAATTTTACTAATAAAAATAATAAACTGATAAAAATAAAAAATTATTATTAATATATAACATTTATCAAATAAAAAGTTTTAAATCTATTTTAGTAATTATTAAAAATATTATTGAGTTGTTTTAAATATTATATTATTACATAATCATAATTTATTGTTTTATTAAAATTATTTATAATCTAAACATATTTTGTAATATAGTAAATAAAATAATTAATGAAATTTACTAATAAACTTATTTTTATAAAATTGAGTCTGTTTATATAGATTAGTTTTAAAACAATTTGATAAAATAACTGAAGTACCATGTTTATAATCACATACATACCACAATAAAACACACACAATATTTAAATAACATTTTTGCATATTTTTTTTCATTTTCAATGCGTTTTCAAGTCGTGTATAACTAAAGTTGAGCATTTTGGTAAATTTGCAAATTCAACTTATATTTACCACTTTAAAAACATGATTATTCTTTTTATTTACCAAACAATTGTCTTTTTATCCTAAATATGATTATTACTAATTATAAGTTATATTGAATATAAAAAATTATAATTTATGATTTTATAATTTATAGTATATCTAAGTAAATTTAGTCCAAAATAAAATTACATATATTTATAATATATTTGTATTTTATGAAATATTATTATATTTATAATATATAATTTTTAATGAAAACACAATCAAATTATATGATAAAAATAATACTATTGTTAAAACAAATACTATAAATATTTATAAAGTATAACTTTTTGTATTTATTGTCTTTATTATCTTAAAAATAACAAACATATGCAAGACTCAAATATCATCAAACGTTTTGAAGAGTTCCGCAATTACTTTACTTTTGAATTGAAAACACAACTTCCTGAAAATCGTCTACGTGATTTCCATTTTTGTATTTTCTGTGGAAAAATGTTTAATAGACGTAAATACATGAAACACTCTTTGGAAGCAAAACCCGAAGAAACAAACAAATTTAAAAGTGTTCACAATTTTAAATTTTTTGATGAGAATTTCGACAAATTTAATTTGATTGCACTTAATAGTCAGCTTGTCGAAGAAGAAAACAATAAGTCAAGTGGTTTGACTGATAATGAAATGGACCTCTCGCCAAATATCTATAGAGGTGCTGATTTATTGAAAGTGAGGAATGAACTTGAGTCACAACTGAGACAAACAAGTTTCACTACATTTGAAGACGTCAAGAAATATTTATTGAAAGGATTGGAAGAAACTGTCCGTGTTCTTCCACTCATCGATTATCGCACATTACGAAATGAATATTTCTGTTTTACACAGCGAGTCGACACAAGAAGCACTCGACAATATCAGTAAAAGTTTTGATGTTCCTATTATTAATTGTGAAGATGTTGTCTCAATAAATTCAACTGGTATTGTGGACTCTGGAACTTTATTAAAAACTCCCGCTATTACAAACTGTATTCCGACTCATCCAACAATTCAAACAGGAAATGTGACACGTGTTGATTAT